GTCCCAAGACTGTCACCATGGAGACCAACAGCAATATCAGGTTATTGCTGCTGGTCATTATCAGTTAGGTCATGGGTGAACAACTTATCTTCAAAGGTGACAAAGAATACTGGTGAAACACCCTATACTAATGATAAAGACAAAGGCTGGGATACTCCTATGGACAGCTGTCCAGTCTGCTGGGGCAACTGCAGCAAGGACCGCAGCAAAAATTAAGGTAAGTGGTCCAAGGAGGCCTAGAAACCAGGTATTATGATAACAGTCTATAGGGTGATGTAAGGTGTCCTGTGAATAGTGTCCTCAGGCTTTGGCTACGCAGAGACTGGTCAGCTTCTGGTGTGACTAGTGCAGGGCTGTTGTCTGCTGGTGATGTTTCCAAGGTGAGGTTGAGTCCAAAGGTCTTTCATCTGAGTTGAGTCCTGAAGGGAATTTTGGGGGTCTGAGGGTCTAGTCCAGGTGTCTGAAACCTCTGTGGGGTGGGCCTTTTTTACTCAGGTTTGATGGACCCACAGAGTGGCATCTGTGACTTTGACAGCAGTGTGAGTAGGAAGCATAACAGTATAAGGCCCTAGACATGTAGGCTGGAGGGGTGTCTTTTTCCAATCTTTAATCTACCCTGAATCTCACTGGATTACCCATAGGAATGGGGGTTCTTTCTAAAACAGTTTTGTTAATCTGTGAAAAGACTTTGGCTGCCTAATGTTTGTAACTCTAAGGCCACATAAGTATCTCCTAGTTGTCTAACATCTCCCCCAAAATATCTGATGACTGAAGGAGGTCTTCCAAACATTATCTCATATGGGGAATAACCTGAGGGTTCAGGTGTGCACCTGACTCTGAGCAGGGCCAGAGGTAACATGTCTGGCCACTCTGCTTCTGTGTCTTGGCAATATGGTTTTACGGATTTGATTCATGTGTTCTACTTTCCCTGAACTTTGTGGCCTATAGGCTGTGTGTAGATTCCATTTAATCTTTAGCATATTAGAGAGGCCTTGGACAGCTTCAACCACGAAGGCAGGCCCACTGTCACTTCCAATTGATAGGAGGAGTCCATATCGGGAATGATTTCTCTGAGGAGGAGCTGAATAACTTCTTGGGGTTTTTCTGTCCTGGTTGGTTTGGCTTTGACCCATTCAGAACAAGTGCAGACTATGACCAACAGGTATTTGTATCTAAAACTGGGTTTCACTTCAGTAAAGTCTATTTATAAGTCAAATCATGACATTCCTGTATGTAGTTTCTGGATAGGATTGTAGCAGGTGCAGGTCTTATATGTTTGGCAGACTGTAGCACAGAGCGAGGGGAGTTTTGTAATATAGTAACATCTCTTTAAGAGATTTTCTAGTTTTGTCTTTCCTAGATGGGTCTTTTCATGAGTTTCCAGAACAACACTGTGAGACAGGATAAAGATTCCGGTATCTGGCAAGATGTAGAGGCCCAATCTCACCCTGAAGTCTCCCTGTTCCTGAGCCCACAGATTTTCTTCTGGTGAATAGCATCCAGGATTGTTTTCTGCATCCGGATGTGTAAAACAGTGGTTCAAGACAGTCCCAAGGTAAAATTTTATAAACTTTCATGTAGGCCTTTTCTTTGGCAAAAAGTTGTCCATCTGTAGGCCTGGTTTCTGGACATCTGATCTGACCATCTTTGAAAACCTGTAAGGGTGCAAGGACATTGGATCTGGGTTTTCTGGTGGCTTCTTTAGCTGCCTGGTCAGCCAGTTGGTTTCCTTTTGTGAGAAAGTCTTGTCCTCTTTGGTGTCCTCAGCAGTGCATGATGGCCACCTTTTTGGATTCCCAGATTGCTTCTGGGAGTTGGAATATCTTTTTAATTTTTAATCTCTTTTCCCCCTGCTGTTAAAAATCCTCTCTTTGTATATTTCCCCGTGAACATGAACAGTGGCGAAAGCATACTTTGAGTCAGTATAAATAGTGACAATCTTTCCTTGAGCCCATTGGAGGGCTCAAATGAGGGCCAAGAGCTCTGCTCTCTGTGCTGACCATGCTTCAGGAAGGGGACATGATTCAATAGCTTGTTCCGTGGTAGTGACTGCATGCTCTGCCAGTTGTTCTCAATCTTATATGAAGCTGCTGCCATCAGTGAACAGGGTAGCATCTGGTTGAGGCTTAGGCTTTTCGGTGAGATCAGGTCAGCTGGAGAACAGCTTGTCAGTGACCTCTTCATAGTCATGGTCTGGTTGGCCCTCTTCAGCAGGCAGAAAAGTGGCTGGGTTTAAAGTCTGTGCTGTTTCCAAGCTGACCCTGGGATTTTCACAGAGTAGTCCCCATGTTGGGCCATTCTGGCATTTGAAAGCCATTTATGTCCTTCACTGTTCATCAGAGTCATAACTAAGTGGAGGACTTTTACTTGAAGGCTTAGTCCCAAGGTCAGCTTGTCTGCCTCCTTGATGAGAGTAACAGCTGCTGCCAGGGCACAGAGGCAAGGGGACCAATCAGCCACCACAGTGTCTGTTTGGACAGTTTGAGTCAAGACTCCCAGAGCTACATGGTCTTTTTCATGAACAAGGAGACTAAATTCTCGGCTTACCTCTAGTAAACCCAGTGCAGGGATGCTGATGAGTCATCTTTTTATTTCTTTGAAGAGAGATTCTTGTGAGTCTTTTCTTTTTAGAGGCTAGTTTTCTGGCCCCATGAGGGTGGCACACAGGGGATTGGCTTTCTCAGCAAATCCTGGTATCCAAATCCTGCAAAATCTGGCTGCTCCCAGAAACTCACAAAGTTTCTTTTTGTTGGTTGACCTGGGGAGGGAGCAGATGACCTGTTTTCTCTCAGGCCCCAGGAATCAGTGCCCCTTGGTGATGATGAATCCCAGGTACTGAACAGAAGGCCCACATATTTGGGCCTTTTTCCAGGATACTTTATAGCCAATATCTAGAAGCAATTGGAGGAGGACAAATGTTTCTTGCCAAAAGTCTTCTTTGGTTTTACTTGCTAACAGGAAATCACCTACATATTGTAGCAGAGTGCAGTTCAGTCTTTCCCCAGGGAAAGCAGCCAGGTCAGCAGCTAGAGATTCCCCAGTGTGGGAGAATTCTTGAAGCCCTGTAGGAGCCATGTCCAGGTAAGGTATGTCTTTTGTCCAGTGTCAGGGTCTTCCCACTCAAAGGCAAATAGTGGCTGATTTTGAGGGGCCAGTCATAGACAGAAGAAGACACCTTTGAGATCCAGGCAGGTAAACCAGGCTCCCTCAGGTAGGAGCAGGCTCAGTAAGGAATATGGGTTAGGTACAACTGGGTGGAGGGTCACTACAGCAGTACTGACAGCTCAGAGGTCTTGCACATGACAGTAGCCTCCTTCAGGCTTTTTGATAGCAGGGGAGTATTCTAGGGAGACAGACAGTCTTTGAGGATTTTTGCTTCTTGGAGGCAATTAATGTGCTCAGGAATACCAAATCATGCTTCTAAGTGCATGGCATACTGTTTGAGTCTGACAGGAGTGGCCCCTGGCTTGAGGTCTACTATGATTGGGGCCTAATTTTTGGCTAGCCCTAGTGGGGACTTTTCAGCCAAGACTTCTGGAAAGTCCTCTAGAAGATCAGGAGGGTTTACTTCTTTTTGGTCAGTGCTGTGTAGTCTCCATTCTTGTTCTCTGGGGACAGAGACTAACAAGACTAGGCCTTTTTAACCACTGAGGGTCAAGCAGGTTGGCCCTTCTGATGTGAAAGTAATTTGGGCTCCATGTTTGGTCAGTAGCTTTTGTCTCAGAAGAGGAACAGGACAATCAAGCAGATAGAGGAGTTTGCGAACTACTTCATGACCTCCTAGGTGACAGGATTGAAGCTGGAAAAGGGGCAGTTTGGGATCCTGTGGCCTCCACAATGGTAACTTATTTGTTGATAAGGGGTGCCACCACAGTGGTCCACCAGAGAATGGTCGGCTCCCATGTCAATCATGAAAGTCACAGGTTGGCCCTCAACTGCCATTTTGGCAGTGGGTTCTTGGGGGCCTAGACTGAGAGGGCCTGGTCTGTCCTAGCCTGAATCAATTTCCAAAAGTCCAGTCAGGTTAGGCATTGGAGGCTCAGGCTGGTAATGAGAACCAGTGCAGTTGGGAGCCTGCTGACTGAGCCCTAGAGGTTTGGATTGCTGGTTGGAGCCAGTGAGGTCAGAAGCTTTTTTGTTTGATGTGTTTTGCCTTCAGTTGGGGCATTCATTTTTCCAGTGTCCAGTTTCTTTGCAATAAGCCCATTTGTCTGGGTGCAAGGGGGTTAGTAGTTGGTTTCCCCTCTTGTGTGGTGGTCCTGGCCTGCAAGTAGGACTTAGTTTTCCGAGCACAGCTGCGAGGAGCAAGACCTTTTATTTTCTTTTCTTTTCTGCCTCTCATTGGGCTCCGAGGTCTCAGCAAAGACCTTTGTTGCCACCTCAAGCAGCTAGGTGACATTCATGCTAGTGAATTCCTTGAGCTTTTGGAGTTTGCAGCAGATGTTAGGATCAGACTGGATCACAAAAGCAGCGTTGACCATGCATTGGTTTTGGTGGGCCTCAAGGTCGAAGGGCATGAAAACTCAGAACTCCTCGAAGAGTCATTCATAGAAGTCGCTGGGTGACTTGTCTGGCTTCTATAACACACAGTCAGTCTTGAACATGTTTGTTGGCTTTTTGGCAGCAGCACGGATCCCTTGCAGGATGGCCTCGTGGTATCTTATGAGGGCCTTTTGACCCCCTGTGGAGTGAAAGTCCCATTGTGACCTGGTCACGGGAGCCATCTCCTTGGCCCAGTCTGCTGGATCTTGGCCAGTCAGGGCCATACCTTGGATGATGGTCTGGCCTCAGTGATGATTCTACACCTCTCTTCAGTGTTGAACAGGGTGAAAAGCAACTGGCAGCATTCATTCCAGGTGGACAGGTGGGTCTGACAGACAGACTCCATGAGATCAATGAGGGCCTGAGGCTTCTCAGAGTATGATGGTGTGTGTTGTTTCCAGTTCAGAAGAACTGTTTCCAGTTCAAAAGGGCTGGTAGTAGAGAGTGGCTCGCCCAGGATGGATGGTGCCATCATCCAGGATGGTGGGTGGAGATTGGGTCTCATGGATGGGCAATTGAATGGCAGGAGGTTGAGCTTACTGGAGGTGTCTTACCAGAGGAGTTTCAGAAGAAGTGATCTCATCACCACATGGAATGGTGGGAGAGTCACAGGCTGGTGCAGGGAGTGGTGAGGTAGAGAAGAAGACTAGCTGGTGATGGAGTTATTGTAGGATTTAGAGGTGAATCAGTTGGAGACACTGGTGGTCCTGGAAATGGACTGGCTGCCTGGGCAGGTGATGAGCTGGAAGGTGGACTAGCAGGTGCGGCTGGCAGTGGGGAATTTGAAGGCAGTGGCTCTCAGGAAGAACAGGAGCCAGCAATGAAGGCACAGACAATGGCTCAAGGAAGTAAGATGGTGGCAGAATACTTTCGCTGTCACCAAGTTCAGCTCCACCAAAATGAAGAACAGTGGCCAGAGCAACAAGGTGGCCTGCACTTCTCCCATCAACCTGGGCCTGACCGTGAGTGACCTCCTGAAGCAGAAAGCCATCTCATCCTCCATGCACTCTCTGTATGGGCTGAGCCTGGGGGGCCCGCAGCATCCCCAACCCCAGCAGCAGCAGCAGCAGCAGCAGCCACCATCCCAACCACCACCCCTGCCGCCGCCTCCGCAGCAGCAGCAGCAGCAACAGCAGCAACAGCAGAAAACCTCTGCGCTCTCTCCCAATACCAAGGAATTTATCTTCCCCACTATGCAGGGTCAAGGTGGCAGTGCCAGTGGGATGTTCCCAGATGACAGCCCCTGTAACCTCAGTCCTCTCCAGTACAGCAATGCCTTTGACGTGTTTGCAGCCTATGGAGGCCTCAACGAGAAGTCTTTTGTAGATGGCTTGAATTTTAGCTTAAAAAACATGCAGTATTCTAACCAGCAATTCCAGCCGGTCATGGCGAACTAAAAAGAAAACAAGAGAATCATATCATACAAGTTGAGTTGCACGGGCCCAAGGGGGATTTTTTTTTTTTTTGAAACCTCCTTGAGATTTTTTTCTTTTAAGCTTATAGTAAGGATACATTCAGGCTTGGTTACAAAAATAAAACATGCGTCATTTTTCATTTGCCAACCAAGCACAAAGTTATTTTATACTGACTGTATATTTTAAAGTATCTGCTCAGATATGGCCTCTTACAGTATTTAAGATATAGCTAGGACATGGCTGATTTTTTTTTTATGAAAAATTGGCACTAATAAGTGGGTTTATGGTCTTTTCTAATTTTATAATTTAATTTAGTACAAAGTTTGTAAAATATCAGAGGATATATATATTATTTCTACGACATGGATTGCATTTATATCTTTTTACTACAGTGATCTGTGACAGCAGCAGCTTCATGTTGTATTTTTTTTACTGAAATTGTAAAATATCCATCTTAAAGACATCAACTATTCTCAAAATTGTGTACAGGATATTCCTTTAGTGGTGGAATTAAAAATGTACAAATATTTGCTTTTTCAAAAAAAATGTATTTTCTGTTAAAGGTTTAAAAATTTTTGCTATATATTATGGAAGAAAATGTAATCGTAGATGGTGGCAGAAAATCTTCTTCTGGTGGACCCTGATGAATTGGTTTTTAGCGGGTCTTGGAGAGGTGGCCACAGCTTTGGGCTATGAAAACCTGGCTCTGTCCCTTCCTAATGCAAAATCAGACCCAAGGTGGTAGGGTCTGGGCAATCTCTACCCAGGAATTGATATAGGGAGCTGACTAGGGTTCTGGGGTTACCTGTGACTACATTCCAGACTGCCCGGACTGCAGGGACATCTAAAGTCCCCTATGAGGGCCATCTGGTATTGAATTTAGGTCATTCAATTTCACAGAAGATCTTAAGCCTGAAAGGCTTCATCTTAATACCATAATCTCCATTGAAGCCATTCTTAAAATTTAGTAACATATAGTCTAAAACAGTGGGCTTACTCTGTGTATTATGGTGTATGTAGTGCCCTTGAACAGTGACAGAACAAAGGATGGGAGTCCCCAGAGAGGAGACCACTCAGAGCCAGCCTGACCATGTCCCTCAAGGGACCTTAGGCATGTCTTGGCTGAAGGTGCATTCATAACCCCAAGCCTGGTCAACCTCCTAATACAGGAGATGAGTCACCATTATGCCATACGACCTCACCACAAAACCACAGGTTAGGGTCCAATCAGACTCCATAGCCAAAGCCATGGAGATGCAAAGACTAGTTGTCACATCCAATGAAACAGTTATACTCACTCACACAATCAGACAGTCATCCAGAGGTTAAAACATTCCTTCCCCCTTTAGGGAGGTGCCTGACTGAAGTCTCTGACCTGAGACTATGGAAGGCAATCAAGCTTCCCTTCTGTCCACTACAACAGACCTGATTGGGTCTGAACTGGTTCCCCAGGCCTTACCTTATCTTGAAGTCTTAAGGGGTTTTTAGTTCACCTCTTCTCTCGAGTCCAGTCAGGAGACCAGTCATTGGTTAGCCTCACCTGATTAAAGAGGAACTACCACACAGGGTGGAAGTGCACCACCTTGTTCTTCAGAGAGGGCTCCCAGTGGCTACTCTCCAACTCCAAGCCAGCAGCTCAAAGGGCAAGCATTATTGGCTTCCCAGTCAGGGAACAAATGTGGGAAAGTGAGACAGCTCAGCATTACAGCCAAGTGTTATAGCTCTATATTACAGCTACAGTGATTTGAAGACACAAGAATCTAAAAGGCACTTCAAGAGGTGGAGAAATACAAAACCTTATTAAGCCAGCTAGCCCAGAGTTTAAGCACTCCAAATTCTGAGCCCTGAACAAAAATGGGAGCAACCTTATGTAGTGATCTACGGGGTGGAGGGAAGTGAGCTCACCTACTGGGCGAGCATGCTCACTGAAGTGGATGAGCAGAGTTAACATAATTTTCTTAAAACTTAGTTAGAAACATTGTGTAGCACCATGTACAAACACTTACATTGTTTGAGCAGAACACTTTGATACATTGGGCAGGAACATTGTTCAGCACAAACAGTTACATTTCCTGAATAGAACTTTTTATGGCAAAAACATGGTGGGGGACAAAGGCAAAGGCCTGCCCTGTTGTGCATTATTTCCTTATCAAAATGAGTCATGGTGCCAAGGATTTAGCTCAGTGGTGCTGCCCTGCCTCATAAGCACAAGGTCCTGAGTTCAATCCCCAGTAGAAAAAAAAAAAAAAAAAAAAAACAGTCACAGACCTAAACCAAAAACTTAAAACTACTGACTTCTGGAAGAGAACAGGAGACAATCTTTGAGACCTTCATTAAAGATTTCTTAGGTACAATTGCAAAACCACAATCAAGAGAATAAAAAAATCAGAAAATTGGATGTAAGAATATCTGCTCTCCAAAACACATCTTCAAGAAAATGAAAGGCAAATCTCAGATTTGGAGCCAGCATACACAAGTCCTGTATTTGATAAAAGATTTGTTTTGGTTTTTTTGTTGTTGTCATTTTGTTTTGTTTTTTAAGACAGGGTCTTACTATGTAGCCCAGGCTGGCCTTGAACTCACAGTGATCCTTCTGCCTCAGCCTCCTGAGTGCTGGAATTACAAGCATGCACCACCACACTTGACTCAAAAAAGGATTTGCATGTAAAATATGTAAAGAAATCTCAAAACGCAGTAAGAAATTTTTTAAATGGAAAAGAGATGTGAAAAGACAATTCCCAAAAGTGGATGTACAGATGCAAATAAGCACATGCAAACTTGCTCATCATTGTTAATCATTAGAAATGCAAATAAAAACCACCAAGAGATCCTACTACACTTACTGGGACATCTGCAGCTTAAATGACAGACCAAACCATACATTGGCAAAGCTGTTGGCCCCTGGAGCTTTCTTCTCCTCTGCTGGGGAGACTGTGAAATGGTACCACAACTTGGGAAAACTGGTAGTTTCATTAAAAATTAACATGCAGCCAAGCCTGATGACACACAGCTGTAATCCCAGCTACTCAGGAGGCTGAGTCAGGAGGATGCCAAGTCCTAGGCCAGCATGGGAAAGTTAGTAAGACTCTGGAGCATTATCAGAAAGATAAATGTCCATATTCTTTCATAAGGAGTCATTAAAAGATCCCCAAACAGAAAACCAAGAAATGGCATGTAACCACATCATTCAGATATACAAAGAACCAACTGAAAGAACCACAAAAAGTCTAGGAAAAGCATGTGACTTTGATGAAAACTGAAAAGAGAAAGTGAAAGAAACAATTAGGGATGAGTCAAACTGGAAAAATCAATGGGTAAGAATGCCAGCATGTGCCTGTCTGCTAGCTATTTCCAGTCTTCCCCTATTCCCTTTTGCTCTTAAAATGTGCCAGTTCGGAAAACTCTACAATGGCTGTGCCAGGCCGACCACTGATCCCACTGGCCATCCTCAACATCACCTTTTCTTCTAATGCAGATTCCTCCTGAAGTGATGGATTTGGAAGGACATGGTACCAACTGTGAAACATTCTTCCAAAAAAAGAGAAACCTGAATCTAATCACTTATCTAAATCAGGGGTTTTGTAGCCTCAGCCCTGGTGACATCTGGGGACATGAAATTCTTCTTGGCAGGCAGCAGTCCTGCACACTATAGGACATTCAGAGCATCTCTGACTTCTAGTCATTGGATGCCAGCAGAATCCCAGCCCCAAGCCGTGGTCCCAAATGTGTCCTCAGATATTGCCAGACGTCCCTAAGAAGTGGTGGGGAATTCTCTGGGGATTTAGCTCAGTGGTTCCGGCGCCTGCCTCGAAAGCACAAGGTCCTAAGTTCGATCCCCAGTACCAAAAAAAATAATAATAATTCATATTTTGGGGTCAGGGATTTAGCTCAGTGGTTCCACCGCCTGCCTCATAAGTGCAAGGACCCGAGTTCAATCCCTGGTACCAAAAAAAATTGAAAAAAAATTGAAAGAAGTGGTGGGGAGGAAGAGTGCCCTCGGCAGAAAACCCTGCTCAACATCTTAGGGACCAAGGTACAGGAAACAGGATGAAAAACAAGGTTCAAAAACACCAGCCAGATGCACCGGCCAAACTGAAAATGAGGGGCCTCCTAAAGGACAGATGACCCAAGTTTTTGTTTTGTTTTGTTTTGTTTCGTTTCTGTGGCACTGGGGATTGAAACCGGGAGTGCTCTACCACTGAGCTACATCGGCGATTTTTATTCTTTTTAATTTTTAAGGCAGGATCTTGTTAAGTTGCTCAGATGGGACTCAAATATGTGAACCTCCTGCCTCAGCCTCCCGTGTAGCTGGGATTACAGGCATGCACCACCACACCTGGCCATCGTGGAAAATTTCTAATATGTTCAAAAGTAGAGAAAAGATTATAGTGAACAGCCATGGACTCGTCACTCAATTTCAACAACTGTCTCTGTTTGTTGTTTTATTTCCTATGTTCTTCCTCAGCAACCAGACACTCCATACAACTTTATCCTTAACACAGAGCCAGTCTGTCTCTGTGTCTGTTTGTCTCATTCTCTCTCACCTTGTGCATGCAAGGCAAATGTTCTACCACTGAACTATATCCCCACCCCTTTTAAAATTTTATGTTGAGACAGAATCTCACTAAATTGCCCGGACTGGCCTAGAACTCACAATCATCCTGGCTTGACCTCCCCACCAGTGAGGCATGTACCATGGGACCCAGTAGCAATACATATCTCCAACAGAAAGCTTTAAAAATAGCCAGATATAGTGTACACTTTTGTATTCCCAACACTCTAGGAGGCTGAGGCAGGAAAGCTTGTGAGTTTGAGCCCAGCCTGGGAAATTTAGCTATACCATGTCTTAAAGTAAAAGATAAAAAAGGGCTAGGAGTATAGGTCAGTGCTAAGGTCCTGGGTCCAATCCCAGAAAGAGAGAGAGAGAGAGTAATGCGGCCATATCACATCCAGGAAAGTAACAGTAGCTCTTAGTGCCATAACACCCAGTTTATACTGAATTATCTCTGAATGTGTCAAAAATGTATTTTGCAGTTGGTTTAAATCAGGATCCAAAGTCCACACATTACATTCGTTGATCTTTTAAAAAGCTTTTAAAATTTATACTCCCCTATCCATAATTTCCCCTTCCATATGTTCATTGAAGAAACTGGGTCATCTGAGCTGGGCACAGGGACACATGCCTGGGGCGAGTTCCAGGCCAGCCTGGGCTACATGGGGAGACCCTGTCTGAAAAAAAAAAAGAAGAAAAATTTTCCACAGTAAAACTTAAATCAAAGAAATCAGATTTTAAGGGGCCGTGGATTTAGCTCAGTGGCAACAGGCCTGCCTAGCAAGTGCAAGGTCTTGAGATCAATCCCTGGCACTGAAAAGAAAAAAAAAAAGAAATGAGATTTAAAAAATTACCAAAGTATGCTTAGTGGGGCACAGAGCTCAGGGTTGTGAGGCTGGCTCCTCTACTAACAGGTCTGGTCATTTTAAGCGAGGATGCCATGTAGAAGAAGGATCTTGAATTCACAGGTTTCCATCATCCCTTCCAGGCAAAGTTTTCAACGATTCCGAGCCAGCCCTTGGCTTTCACA